TTACTTAAAGAAAAAAAACCGATTAACTTCGAAAAGAAAATCATGGTTGATGTCCATATAACACACACACTTTAATAGTAGATTGTAACCGTACCGTTAATATATTATGTAGTGTCCACTTTTCCGAAACAACTTATTTTTATTTTCGTGAATTATTAATTTACATTTTGCTGGTTATAAGGATAATATTTATACTTTTACCTGTTACAATAGAGCAGAATCAAATGATTACAAAAACGTTTCCAAAAGGGCTCTAAGCCCTAAGGTGATATAGTGTCAGTGATAGATTATTATTATTTACATAATATTTTTCAAAGTATTAAATTGTGCGAATAATATTTTTGATAAAAGAGTTTTGAAAATTTAAAAAAGCAATAATATTATTATTAAGTTATATATGTATTATATATAATGTTATTTTTTTAGTCTGGTATCAATCTGACTTTTGGTACCAACACGAACAACGGTATCCTGTATAAACAAAATATTTTAAAGTAGAAATCGAATTTAATAATCTCTAAATTTTTTTAAAAAATTGATAAAACATCTTGAAATATCATAAAAATTACAAAAATAAACAATAATATAAATTATATATACCTAAAATAATTTGTATACTAAAGCTAAACATTTTTTTTTTTTTACACAATATTATGATATTATGATAAGTATTTTATAGGTACGATATTATTATTTTATATATTTTGTCTTTATTTTCATATATTGTTGATTTTGTCCAGTTTTTTTTCAATTTAAATATGTATGATAAATTTTTTTTGATTGATTGAAAATATTGAACATTTAATACAATGTTCCTCTTAAGTTGGTCTTATCCCAATTAATAAATATCAAAAATGTACAGTCACTGTTGTCTTGTTATAAACATTTACAGTATACATTTTTACGAAATTCGCAAATTATTTCTTCGTTAAAAATTCGTAACATTTTAGATTCTGTACAGAGCAATGATTATATTGATTTTAAAATGATGCGTATTCTTTTTTTTATACGTGTCTGAAAACCCTTTATATGGTAAAATAAATGCTTAAATTTTCAATTTTGTAGATGATTTTTGACATTACATTGAATTTAGTGAATAATTAAAAGTGGTAGAAATAAGACTCTAAATACTTTTCAAAAAAAAATAAGAAAAAAATTTTAAAAAATAAGAATTTTTACGCAAAACCAAAATTTAATAAAATCGACATTGTTTTTTTAATTGAAAACGAATAACCGTAAATTGTAAATAAATATAAATATAAATAATTAAAGTGATAAATTTAACTTTATTATTATTAGTTTGATAAAATTTATCTTTTTTCTAGGGTATTTTAGTAATAAATATACATATATTGGTATATTAATTTAAATTGATTTGAAGCTTATTTAAATTTTAAACATTTAAAAGCATTTAAAATTTGGAAATTTTTTTTTCTTTTTAAGTGTTCATATAAAATATTTTCACTCAATCAAAAGTTTAAATGTAACACAAAATCACACATTTTTTTTGTTTGTATAACAACTTATGAATAATGAAATATTTTACATACATTTAAGTTCAAATTTCGATGAAATTGAATGATAAAAGCTTAAATTAAAATAATGACAGACTGACATGGAATGTAAAGTATTCCATTTTCAACAAACTAGTATATGAAAATTTTTACTGTTATCGTCATATTTATACTTACAAATAAATATAGATTAATGAAATAAATTGATATAAGCAGCTCGTCCTATACAAGAAACAGTAAGATAAAAATTCAAAAATATAAACATATACTAACAATATTATTTTTATTGCAAAAACAGTTATTTTACGTTGTATAACTTAAAAACTGTGAGAATATTTAATTATAGTAATAGCTATCGAATTTGTCTTAAAATACATGCATCTTGTTTCACAACAATAAATTTATCGTTGTTATACCACGAACCTACCATAAAAATCATGTTTTAATATATCCCGAAGTACCTAACCTCAAATGTATAAATAAATAATATATGTATATTAGTGGAAATGTGCATAATATATTTAATATTTAAAATGCCTAGGAATTCTATATGATATCTGGTAATTTTTTAAGAAGTGTATCATATATTTATTTTTTTATACACATTTCCAAAATATTTTGTATAACAACTAGTCAGTTTTAAAATAATGAGCAACAAATTGGCAATCTGTAAAATAGGAAAATCACTAGAAAAAACCCCCCAAAAAATTAATTTCCTTTCATCACAATTAAGACACAAAATTATTTATTACAAAGTACCAATTTAATATTGTTTACAGAACATTAAAATAAAATATTAAATAAAAATGAAACAAAAAAAATTAATTTGTAAATTGTATGGGCAGTACCTATACAGTTATTAATTATTATTACTATTATAATATTATTCTAGAAAATACAAAAATCTATGTAGAACGTAGGTACTTATAAGGAAAAAATATAATACTAATAACATAGATTTAATACATTACCTATATACCAATTGTTTGGCATTTCATATTATAATTCTTAGATAATTTAAACAATTTTATAGATTACCGACTCTAATTGGTATTTTATATAGAGTTCCTAAACATTTTATAAAATACCAATATTATACACATTGCCGCTAACATATACACATATATATATATATAATATGTTATATATTTGTATCTAATTTACACCTTTAATAGTATCGTGATGTCGAAGTAATTTTAAAGTCAGTATTAAAATAGACATCTTAAAGTGTGACCGTTTGAGGAAAAATGTTGAAATATTTTTATTTTTTTAAACCAATAGTCAACACACGTAAGAGAATAATATTGATTCTGTGGTAAGATATAAGCCAATAAAGATAAGTCAATAACAATAAATACCTAATTTGAATGCATTTACAGCACAATATCTCAATTCAAAGTGATGAAAGTATGTCAATTGTAAAAGACACTCCTAGAATAAATTTTTAAATAACAAAATTGTATAATATAATATAATATAATATAATGGAATCATACTTATTAAATATTCAAATAAATCTGAATATTATGTTTTTCTTAAATTACAGCCAGTAAAATAGATAATTCTCATATTTAAATTACTATGAGTAATTTATTTTTCAATTATTAATAAGGTATACTGAAGTAGAATTTGACTGAAAATAACGTCAAATATGATATATACAAATAAATTTATTACTAATTACGAATAATAGCGTTGGATGGACGGGATTATAAATGATAAAAACAATAACTATCGTTATTTATATATGAAATATTAAAAAATGTAAAATAAATTACGGAGAAGACAAACGAAAATAAACATGAATAGATATCAGAATTGAATATAGATAACAAAAAATAATGAATATGTATAATATATTATATATAATATCTGAACCACCGAATAAAAAAAATATATAATACTATCAATCCAATATTTTTCAATAAGCTGATAACAAAAAAAAAACGTATATTATACAAATATCTAATGTACAGAAAAAGAAAAAATTAGGCAAATGGAGCACATTTAAAAATTCGATCAAAATGAAAATAAACGATACATACTCTTATAAATCAAATGAGATAATTAGATAACGTATGAGTTGTCTATTAGTTTCAAAAATAATTAATGTTCAAATAAACTTTGAACTTAAAAGTTAACTTCATTTTTGTAGTACAATACATAATAATAATAATATACATAAATGTAAAAAAATAATTAAAATTTAAAATAAAAATAAAAATTTAAGAATATCGATAATGGCCATATATCATAAATATTAATGAAATAATATGATGAATTTTGAGTTTACCTATTCGTAAACAGCTTAAAAGATTATGAATGAGTATAATATCATTAAGTATACCTTTAAAATGATTTACATAAGTACTTATTTCTCATGAGAGAATAACAAAAATCTTAAAGGTACCTGAAGAATCTCAGAAAACCATATAAACAATTTTTTTTTTTAAATCTTGACAAATATAGATACTTTTACAAAAAATTATTTATTTCGATATTTTAAAATATTAAAGGTAGAATAATTCAAATAAAAAAATCAATTCTACTAGTAAAAAACTAGAAACACTATTTGTTATCATCATAATTTGTTAATAAATTATTAAATAATAAATTTTAATTGTATTTTTAGACTAAACTTTTATATGTGGTTTTAATTTTATGACAGAAATATATTATAATATAATTTTTGTATTTTAAAAATTAATTTGAATAAAAGTTTATTTAATTTTGTTTTCACTGTTAAGTTGGTTCAATTTTTCGTATACTTATGTATTTATGTATTTATAACGTACTACGAGTATACTTATAATAGTAAATTATTATTTTATTTAAAATTTATATTGATAAAGATATTAACACTTTATATATATATATATATATATATATATATATACAGTGAAATATACATCATCTCGCGTACAATAACATTATAATAACAATATTTAACACCAGAGCCTTAAATTTTATTTCATTCCATTTTAATACTTAATAATTTTAAAAAAAAATTCATCTGTGCAATATTGGTTAAAATATTTTTAAAACTTTGTGCATAAATGAATTAATATCTATATATTGGTACCTAATATATTTCAATATTTGGAATTTTATATTATTTTAATAGAATAAGTATTCAGATGCAATAGTTTAAAATAGTAAATATGTAACAATATAGTTATGAAATATGTTTCGTTTACAATGAAAAAAAAATTTAATTTATCATTTAATACATGTTTCATGTAAACATAATATATATTTTATTATTGAATTTTCCATTAAATTTTAATTTAGAATAAACACATTGGTTTAGTAAAATAAACTATGTTTAATAAGTTTTAATAAATCAAAAGCAAACACATTTTAACATATTAACACAGTCTGTGTATTCTAAAGTAAACTAAACTTCATTAAATAATGATAATTTACTGTTGAATAAAATATTTATCACTCATTTATATATTAAACAGATATTCAAAACAATTGTCAATTGTAATTAAAAAAATGTTGGTGAAACTGAAAACTTTTAAATTGTCTAAGAATGCCCTAGTACATTTATTATATATATTACTAATTATTACTACCACGATTAGCGTCCAAATTAACGACGAACCAGCCAATCCAAAGCAGACTGATGATAAAAATAATAATCCAGATGAAAATATTCCAGACAAAACAAATCTTATTTCATCAAATAATGATAATAATGAAAATACAGCTGGCAAAAAAAACATTTTACAAGGAGTTTTTGAAAGGATGAATTTCAACAAATTAAAAAATAATAAAACAAAACCAAATGAAGATAAAATTAATATTATGGACCCTAAAAAAAAAAATACAGTTGAAGAAAGTAGTTTTAAAGATCAGCAACTAGAAGCTGATGAAGAAGATCCATTTAAGGACATGAAACTGGGCATACCTTCTGAAGAATTAAACACTGGAGACGATAAACTAGAAGAGGCACCTGAACAGAATAATAAACAAGAAATAAAAAAGAAAAAGAAAAAGAAAAAAAAAAAGAAAAAGAAAAAGGAAAACAATAAAGCTGAAAATATTAACTCTGAAAGAAAAGATACACGTGAAACAGATAGTGTTAAAGACCAACAACCAGAAGTTGATGAAGAAGATCCATTTAAGGACATGAAACTGGATATACCTTCTGAAGAATTAAACACTGGAGACGATAAACTAGAAGAGGCACCTGAACAGAATAATAAACAAGAAATAAAAAAGAAAAAGAAAAAGAAAAAGAAAAATAAAAATAAAAAGGAAAACAATAGATCTGAAAGTATTAACTCTGAAAAAAAAGATACACGTGAAACAGATAGTGTTAAAGACCAACAATCAGAAGTTGATGAAGAAGATCCATTTAAGGACATGAAACTGGACATACCTTCTGAAGAATTAAACACTAAAGACGTTGAAGAAGAAAAAGCAACTGAACAGAAAACCCAAAAGTCCACTGAAGATACGTCACAAAATAAAATTACGGAAGATGAGCCAAAGGACTTAACATTATCTTCACTGGAGAATGTTGGAATCGTAAAAATTAAAAACAAACAAAATGCAACCAGCGAAATGATAAGAAAAGAAAAGAAAAGAAGTAAGATACAAAAATAGATAGATCTTAAAATTCTAAAAACTGCTTTGATAAATTATCGCATTCTAAAAGCATTTCGTTTAAGAGCTCAATTTATCAAGCACTAATAAAGGTATACTTACTACCTAATTAGATTATATTTTTAACTTATGAGTTTCTTAAAAAATTAATTTTAAAACAAACTTAAGTAAGTATTATATTAAAATATTATTTGACTTTAATTTCCAATCTACAGTGACATTTTGCGTACCTAATACCTACATTTTATTATCACTTGTATTTGACTTCTAAGAATCTTAAAAATTTTTTTTGAAAAGGGTAAATATATATAATATAAATCATTATAGAAATTATTAAACCATTGTTTTATTATAAATTATAAAAATACAGTTAATAGGTTACATAAAAATTAAAAACATTTATATTTATAATGCGCATTAAGTAATAATTAACATTATATAGGATGGGTATAGTCAATAATTTATCACACTAAAAGCTTTCATATTAATAACATTTATAGACTGATGTTTCATTAAAAAATATGTATATATTAATAATACAATTAACATACAATGTTAAGCAATTCCTAATAACAATTTAATTCGACTTTTTTTGTACGATCTTAGAAATATTTTTACCAAATATTGTTTTTGGGACTTTTTTCCGTTTATCGACCTAAGTACATAAAACTCTATGAAACTCATTTCTCAAACATTCACTTAGAATCTATTATCTGGTTCAAATTTATTAAATTCTTAAGTAATTAAATTAATTAAAATATTTAAAACTAAAAAATGCGTTACGTATAAGGATTTGTATACCTACTAAGTCAATTTTTAAAAATTAATATGTTTAAAAAAAGTTAAATGTGATTCAGCAACAAAGTTCGTCTTGGGAATTTGTTTTATTTTGTTTACTTCGGTGCAAAATAATGATAGTTGTGTCTGTTGTTATAGTTGTTATATCGAAATTAAATATACTTTAAATCATCCCAATTCTGAATATATTATCTACTCGGTTACAACTGAATTATTTGCTAAATTTTTTTTCAATATCTTTATGATTGTCGATAGTAAGTTATAAACGATATCTTCAAAATAATAAGTAAACAGATAAAATCTTATGTCCCATTTTTCAAAGAGCAGAACATTATTCATCTTGAAAATCACCTAAAAAGGATATTATAATTTATTAAAGGACAAAAATGACTTGTTTTAATAACCCATATTCCAAAACACAAATAGTATTATTATAATTAGATTATTATTATAGCCATTAAGTTCTTTTCATTATCTTCAATAGCATGGAATACTGTTCAAACAATTAAATCTTTAATGAGATAGTTACAGTGGTAATGCATTATATACATAAATATACATCATAAATAGGTAAATTTTAGTTATATACACATATTAAATATGGCTAAAGGTAAAAAATAAATATTTATTCATAAACCAAAAGGATGTAATTTTAACAAATAAATTATAATTAATAATCTATTTTATGTTAACACTGCATTTTATGTTCTAGCGAAGTTTAGAGAATTTACACCTTCAGGAGAAAATGCACGCATATATTGTACATTTTTAGGAGATGTGTTGAAAATGTACAACAAAGTAAAAAAACGTTTTGTTGGACATTTTTGTCATGCAATCGTATTTGGGGCTCCAATTAACTTAAAACATAATCAAGTACACTTGAGCAATAACATGAAAAGTATATAATACCTATATAAGATATAAATTAATAAAATATATTAATTTCAAAAAACTTAACAAAAAATAAATAATTTAATTTTTTTCCATACAGGTCAGCTGAATAAAATAGATCCACAAAGGGGACAAAGTCTTCTTATCGTCATTATGAAACATTCAAGTTATGACGATTGGGAAAAAGCATTAATTAATCCCAACCAACTAGTTATAAATATAATACATACAGTCATAAATTATAAAATCGATGGAATACAATTTTCAAATTTACAACGAACGGTATGGATTATAATTTTATTTATTTTAAATTCCTACAATATACTACTGTAACTATTTAATTGATCTTAAATTTTTAATCTATTAAAAAATGTAAATGATATTTTAAAAGTGGTCCTAATTCAAATTTAAAAAAAAAAAACTATACCTTCGAGTTTCAAATCAAATATAATATATAATATTGATATTTACATTTAAAGTAGGCCATTTACGTATAAGAAGATAAAATTTCAATTTTATTTCATTTTATGTTTATTAAAAAATTAAACTAATAAAAAAAAAGCTGTAGACAAAATATAAAATTTATTTATTGAGGAATCGACATTTTATTTTTCTTTTATCAGCAAAAGTTAATTAGGTATTATAATTATTTATTATAGATTAAAATATTTGTAATATACCTAGTAAACCATCACTTTCAAAATAGATTTTGAGTGGATCACGCTTCACTGTAATGTTTATAGGAATGTTAAAAATATTTAAGAACTTATAAAATGAAAAACAATCAAAGATTTTTGAGTTTAAGATACCTAATGAATAAAATAAAATATGTACATTGTACAAGTATAACTTTATATTAAAATCAGTGAATCTAAAATTACTAATTAAATTAAACAACATTTAAAAAGATAAAAATAACATTGTATTTAATTTCCCGGTCTTTAAAGAATAAATGAATAATTAAATATAAAATATATTCAGTTTAATATTATATCTCCCATAAAAAAATTTCTGAAAAGCAAAATTACAATTTACAATAAAATAATTAAAGTTAATATAATTAAATATATGGATCTCCTAGACTTCTTAAATCACCCAACGTTTAATTGAATGCATCAACATGTGTTTTCTCAGTCTTACAAATGTACAACATAGCAAAATTGTTTTTAATCTAACCAATTTTGTGTTGTCAACATTAATATTAGAGCAAATTGTCTTATTTTCAAACTTAAATATAAGAACATTATCTGTTATAATCGTCGATTTTTTTAATATTTTAATTTTTAAACAGTATGTGCAATAGTAAAAAACTAAAATAACATAAAAAATTAATCAGCGATAACAGAAAAAATGTTTACCTTTAAGTTTAACAATAGTTAGACAATTCACTCAAATATTTAAGTTGACAAAATGAAATTGATTATACTAAAAACAAATTTACTATGTTGTACGTAATTTGACGGAAACAACACGTGCGGACATAGTATCTTCTTGGAGGAAAAATATTGAACAAGTAAAAATAGAAATAATTAATTACTTACCTCTCTAAAATAACAACTCAATAAAAATTACCAATCAAAAAATTGTATATTAAGATCGATGATCTTTTTAATGCATTTTCTTAACGACAGAAAATAAATTTAAACAAAAACATAGCCTTTAATAATACATATTTTAGATTGTGAGCATAGAATAAAGCATGAAAATAAATTTAATTGCATTGGCTTATTCATTTTTTTTTTTTTATTTCTTTGTAATTTTTAATGAAATATTAAATAATAATAGAATTATATTAACACTCTGATTAACAAAAACTGTATTGTTTTTTCCCCATTTACCTATATACTTTTTTTTTCAAAAATAACCAACTTAAAAAGTTATAAAAAATCATAAAAGTAAAACGTTTTAATCTTATTTGATATAATAATAGATATTACTTTGGTAAAATATACAATACACATATTATAGAGATTAGAAAAATAAGAAAATTTTTAAATGCATTCAAAAAATAATAAAAAACATTTCAAAACTTTAAAAAATACTTTGTGTATAAAATATATATATTAGTTTTTTTTATACATAATAATATGTTCTGATCATCAAACTAGAACAACTTCTGAACTTATGAATGATTATAGGGAGTAGATCAAACAGATACACAGATGGTGAATAATTTAATAACATTCTTAAAAAAACTACTAAAAACTGCAAAAACAAAAAAACATGACTTAAAAATTGGCATAACCATTCAAATGAACAGTCAGTGGATCAAATCAAGTAAAAACATACCTACATCAAGTGTAAAATATTTATGATATAATACATATATTTATTAAAAATTGATAAATTTCCAGAAAATTGACAAAAGTATTAAGTGCCATTTTTTTTTTTTTTTTAATTAAAAAAAAAATGATATTTAAATTAAATTTTAACTCTGTTTGTGATTGTATTAATACTATTTTAAACTGAGTATTATTACAAAACTAAATTAACTCAATTTTGGTGAATACTAGGAAAGAATGAATAAGATCAATGACTATACTATTTTCAAAAAGTGGGATCTCAGTATGTTATTTTAGAATATACTCTAAGCAATCTAAACTTAACATAGTGAGTTCCCCGTGTTTTTTTTTTCCATTAAATATGTATACTTCCATGTTTGGTACTTAAAATGTTTTTAAATATAATCTTATCATTCTTATTTGTGAAATAAAAACAATATAGTATTTAAATTAATGAATAGATATAGCTTAAGTTTTAGTTAATATTTAAATTTAATAATAATACTTAAACATTATTCATAAAGTTATATTCAAACTGGAAAACATAATTTCAACTTTATTTATAATGTTTATTATTACGTTATAAATTAAAAAAACAGGTTTTACTTCATTCGATCAATTAAATACACTGGTCACTTGGTATTCATACCAAACGATTTCCATGGTAGTATGTACATCGAAATACAAAACTACAAGCACTTCTCCATTAAAAGGAGAAGTGAGCTTGGTAAGTTCGCTATATTAATCATACAAATACTCACTGACTATGTATTTTTTCATAACATGCTTGTATGGTTATTCATGAAAACTCAAATAATTTATAATTTTTATTTTTTTGTTCAATTTTAAAACATTTGATAATTAAAATTTATATTCTGGTGATTATAACTGACTAATTTATTTTTAATGAACATTTTAGATACACTTTTGATCAAGATTTTATACTTAATAATATTGCTTTAAAATATGTACTAAAAATAATAAAATTTTCAAAAGTTTCATAGTTTGAAATTTATTTAAATTTTAAACCCTTTAATCTTCAAATAAATACTTTTAAACAGAATTATAAAAACCCTTTTTTATATCCATTAAATTGTTTTAAATATTAAATATAGTTCATATAAACTATATATAATAAATATTAAATTAATTATTTAACTTATAAATCAGAAATTATAAAATATAAATTACAAAATACAATTGGCAATTATATAATATATAAATATCGATATAAATAAATTTTTCAAATTAAAATCTAATTTTATTAATTTACTATAAAATAAGAATATTATATTATTTATTTTGTGTATTGATAGGATAGTTCACTAGAATCAATAAAGGTTACCGATATTGATATGTCAAAACTAGTCGTTGGTATACAATTGTTCCCAAATAAAATTGATGAAATGAGTCCATTAACATATGAAGAGGTAAGTATGTTAACACAAGTTTTGAAAACATTATTTTGTAGTAAAACCTTTTTAAATTCTAATCTGAGTGATGACTAAATCAATTTTACAATAATACAATTACTTTTTCTTTCCTTAAAATTAAAGAAATATGAAAAATTTTACACAAACCCTGTATTCAACAGAATTAATTTGTTTTTTTTTTGTGTAATTAATAAACAAATTACAATAGAAATGTTCGAAAAGTTTGTATATAATTTTCTACAGGTGATAAAATGTTGACTATTTTGAGCTATTTATAGATATTTAAAATTTTTAAATGTTTTTCTATAAATATTATTATAAAATATTTCACTGGATCGAAAAACTTAAAAATATGCAAACATCATTTTTTTCTTTTTTTATAAGCATATGAAATCACCACAATGAAGACTAAAAGTTGATTTAAGAGTGCCTTTTTATCCTTTAAATTAAAAAAATATTTATCTTAACCTGCACTGATTCTGCTATAATTTATCCAATTTATTTTATATTCATGCATTAAATTTTCTTTTAAATAATTTCTTTAAGAACATGAATTCTAATATTTTTAACAAGATTTCTTTATACATTATATTTTAATAAAATAGGTAATTATATTATATAAGCATTCAACATAGACATACAGTTGAATGTTTATAGTATAAAGTATTTTTTTTAGTTATGAAATAATTTTAATAAAATGTATGTGTGTGTGAATGTTTAGTTATGTTCAACATCAAAGAACTCTTGGGACAAATGGTGTGCTGCGCATCCTGATGAACTTCGGTTAAAGGTATAATTATTCATTATAATAATGATTGTTTTATTTTTTATACTGATCAAGTAAATACATTATAGATCTATTAATTGTGTACTAGTGTTTTATTTTTTAATGCTCGGTTTATCTCCTCGTGGTTTCTATTCGTCGTTTAATTGTTTAACTAAATATGGTAGACTTCACCAAGAACTGCTTGGTGACATGCTCTACCTTGAACTAGGTTAATTTTTAATTTAATTTAAGTTGATTAGTCAATTGTTACATTCATTCTCTTCTCTATATCTAAATATATAAAACAAATATTATCTCTGACTGATATAGAAGACAGATTTTATTTCGGCTTTTTTACATTAATCCTTTTACTATATTCTACTACTTAACCCTAAGGGTATCCTTTTGTAAATTGTTAACATGTACACTAATTTTATTTGAGATAGCCAAAATAGTAAGTAAATTGTTTAATTTGAATATTTTATAAACCATTGCTACTAAATTTTTAAAAGAATCCTTACTTTCAATTGGTATAGCATAAGTTTTAAATGGAAGTAGTCAAAGCTACGAACTTTTTATTAAGTCTTCGGTTAGTTGATCACCTAAAATTTGTTTCGTTTTGTGCAATAAAAATTAAGGTTTTTTGTCGCTCAAACTCAAATCTCTTAATAATTTCTTTAATCGTTGCTCTTCGAATTCCGATAGTCACTCAATAAATCAATTTTTTAATTTTGCATACATTTTATGGTCAGAAGGCGATTCTTCAATATCAGATTTGACATTTCCTGTTATAAATCTTAACTTCACTTGTTTAAACTACATTTTTGAATTTTTTGACTAAAATGGCGGCGCTTTGAAAGCTATATAAATTATATAATGTATTTCAATCGACACTGTGGTTTTCTGTTATTCACCTTCTGTGTAGTTCTGTTATTCCATGTTTACAAACATATATCGTTTTTCGTTGAGCTCACCAATTTATAGCTATTTAATGTTTATGATACATTAACAATAAATAGCTGCAACTTTAATTAAACTGGGATACCGAGACGTATGAGTATAGATAGAGTAAGCTTGAAGTCAAATACTTACTACAGAGCAGAAGCGAGTTACCCACTTTTTTAATTTTAATTTTACATGACAGATATTATAGCCTATAGATACATTATACATTTCATTATATTTTATTTATAGGGACTATGTGTGTCAATTTCTAAACTGGAAAACTAACAATTAATTCATTTAACGATAGATACCCAAGAAATTTTTCAATTTTCATTTATTAAAATCTCGGTAATATAAAAAATGTATAGTCCTTTGAAATAATAAATAAAAAAGCTCATGTCAACACCTTGTTTATATATTACAGTGAGTCAGTGAAATCTCGGTATCTCGAACTCCGATATCTCGAAGTTTCTGTATGTCGAATTTTTTTTTTCAGTCCCGATCATTCAGTATATTGGACTTACGTATTAAGTGATTTCGGTATATCGAATTCCCATATGTCGAATATTAATACATAATATGTATGCAATATATAGATACAATTTATATTATAAATACACATTTTTCCCAACAATTAAACATTTTTATTTCAAATTTTATTTATGTTTTAAACTCCCTCGTTAACTCGAAGTTTCGATATATCGAATTTTTTTTTTTTTGGTCCCTTACGACTTCGAGATACCGAGGTTTCACTATATTTATTATTATTAACATTCAATTTCATACGTTACTTATGATATATTTTAGGGTTTATTTTTGAGGGATTATGAAATTGGAGGCGTCCAACTATATTACATGCACTCGGACGATTACAGGTCCACGTGCGGCTGCTATTCGTTTCCGTTGATTCGAGCACTTCTTCGTGGCTTGATTAATACTCAGACGAAAGAACAGTGTGATTTTTTCACGGCACACAACTAAATAACCGCGATCGAATCAAGAGTAATTATATTATTATTTTTCTCATTAGTTCTAATTATTTTTGAATATAAACAATTTTTATATTATTATATTATTAGGTACATGAATATTTCATATAACAAGCGCGAATTCATACGACATAAATGTTTATTTTAATTAGCTCAAAGTATTGTTATCAATATCATTAAACAATATTACAGTTGTATAATTATTGTTTTAACGTGCATAAAATACAAAAATAACGAATATGTTTATTAATTTAGCATTTTATTATTCTTGCAAGATTAATCAAATTAATTAAAACGTAGGTACCTACCTTATAGCACAGAATAATACATCTAACTCCAATAAGTAGTATTGACTGTATTTAGTCGTACCTATTGTAACTGTGTTAGTACCACTACCTCGAGTATATTTATAGCAACTATATTTACACCTTGATTAATTTTAATAATAGGCAAAAATGTAAATTTTATAAATTATTTGAGAACGTTTAAATAGATGCTTAATCCATTTACATGTGCTCGTATTGTAGTTTGTTAAACAGACGAAAATACAATTCTCTCATAATAAATGTATCATATATATTTATTTATTTAAATGTCTGTATAAGCTCAAACACAATAGGTACATGGATCATAACATTAATAATACAACTTATACGTAGTAAGAATAAAATGAGAAAAAATAAATGAAAACAAATAACATTAATTAACTTGATTTGATATTAATATTTGCAGTAGAAATAATAAGAAAGTACAGAATACCTACATTCATAATTATACAGGTAAATATTGGGATTAATAATAAGATTACTTTAGGAATAACAGGCTTTTTGTATTGAATATGTCGATATTTATTAAATTATTGCATTCACACGCAATACGGTCCATTGGGTTATTAAAGTTATATGATGTTCAATAAGTTTTATAGAAAAGATAAGATAGGAAAAGAATATGAAATTGTACTAGTTTCAGGAGCCTAGAACAGGATAAAATATAGTATTGCTTACAAGTTTATCCATGAAGTAAATGTCATTACGTCGGCGTCTAGTATCCAGACATTCCAAGTTGAGATCCTCTTAAATTGTTTTTCTGGTGTAGACAAGGAAAAGGAAAGGTCGCCAGTAATACGCTGTAATTTGTAGCCGATATATTTTAAGAATCTTTTCGGAAAATACTCGATCAATAACGTGGCGACGATAATTTCAGAGGCAATCACAAACCTTTGAAATATTTTTCAAATAGTATAAATGGATTAGTCAATGGGTCCCATAATTATGAAGTAATGATAACTCAATAGGTCGATTTGAAATATAATTAACTATTTATATTATTATGCATAAATTAATTATATAAATTGATGTTAGCAACACCCCCTCCCCACTATTTTTTGCGTCTATAGTAGTGGATCGGTCCTTGGTATATTTCAACTCGCCACACCACTGCACTCGCAGTTAAACCTATTTACGACGGGATCCATAGTATTGAACAATATTCAAGTATTAATCTGATAAACGATACATAGTTTTAAGATAACTCATCCTTGTACTTTTTAGTAATACTATTTTTAATTAGAAAACCAAGTTTTCTAGCTTTAGAACAGTCTTGTTCTATATGAGACGAAAACATCAGATTTTGTTGAAATATACACCAAAATCTCCAACATTGTTGATTTCTTTGAATCTATCGCTAAGAACCATGCCTGGAGAGGGGTTGCAAGACGAGGAATTTCTCCCCCTTAGAATTCAAATATAATGTTGAAAATATTAATTTTTATTTTGATTTAATTAAAAATTTCATTGATGTTTTTACTTTAGTATATATCATTTATACATTTAAAATCGATGAAGAAAAAAAATGTTCTAATATGATGTACTATAAAGAAGTTTAAAACATAATAGCGCTATCGTTGATGAAAATTACTAAAATTTAAATCAAATGATTATATTTATATAAACAGGCATACGGCAAAATAAGATAACGATTATCGTATGTGTAAAAGGTGTAATTTTCAACGAGGCAACGACACTTCTCCTGGATTAAAACTATTAAATTACTTAAATTAGTTATTGACTTTTATTTATCAACACGCCGCCTACGGCGTACCTATGTTAAAACATGGACCATGTATTACGTACGTATTGTATTTACTATTTGGTATATTTATAATATGTTTTATTGTCATACTATTATAGACATCAGAATTTATTTTAAAATACCTAAATTATATGATTTTCTTAATTATGCCTTTACTTCAATTGAAAAAAATGATACAAAGTAGTTGGAATTGTGTGTAATTAAAAGTGTTTAAATTACCACGAATGGTATGAATACAAAAAATAATGACGATCAAACGATGACTTATGAAAAAGATACTGAAAAATATTTAAACATTGAAAATAATAACGATTCTTTGAAAATAGAACTTTTGCGTAATTCTTGGGTACCAAATACTATTTATGAATTTAAAGTGAATTAAAATCAGGAAGTAGGTATTCGAGCATTTAGATATCAATGGTTGCACGAAAACAGTCCATAGTTAACATGTTCAACTGTTGAGGGTGTGAAAGGAACTTTTTGTAGAATATGTGTGTTGTTGAAGCCATCAAGGTGAATTTATAGTAAAACCAATTACCAAGTATAAGGATTTTCATACATTTGTCAAATTGGCACTCAGAATCAATGTCAACAGTAAAAGATTTTAAGGATATTATGAATGGTAACAAAATAAATGTTATTGAACAAGTAAATTCTGGATTTTATAAGAAATAGAAACTAATAGACAAAAATTAAAATTTTTTCAACTTTTTTGTTGTATGGGACTCGCGACTTTTCCTTACGAGAGAAAAAATCAGATTCTGGTGTTTTTCACAATTTTTTGAATTTTTGTATTGAATCTAGCGATGACATATTGAAAGATAATTTCTTAACTAATTTGTTAAACGCTAAATAGTAAATATTCATCCCATAGAACTCAAAATGAATTAATTACATAGTGTGGAAAGATATTAAAAGAAGAAATAATGTGTGAAGCTAATTTTAATTATTTTTAACGAATCATCAAATATTTCTGGTATTAAGCAGTTAATAATTGTAATTAAATTTTAGACAAACAGTCTAAATCTTTTAAAGATGCTATAATTCCTTGGCTTTTTTAAATTAGATCAATTCGACGCAGATTTAGTTGCTACTAAAATGTTAACATTTATTATTTATGTATTTTTACATTCTATAAAATTAAAAATTGTAAATGTAGTCACTATGATTATGTTATTAATGTGAACTGAAAAATATTTATAATTTTTATAACCTTTGAGTTAAAAATTTTGGAAACTCCTGAATTCTATTTGATCAGGTAGATACCTATATTATGTAGGTTAGGTTTAGTAAACAAAGAATTGTTTTTAAAATACCATTGTTATTAGCAAACACAATAAATTATATATATTTTTTTAATAGGTACCTGAACCTAAAATTAAAATTGTTTTTTAAATATTTTTGAACATAATATTACCTATATTATTGAACAAATGTAACCCACTGGCTTATATTGCTATGTATAATACTATCAGAAAATATATTTCAACTTTCAATACTTTTATTAATCCTATAAAAATGTGAATACAAAAGTTTAAATTAGGTTGATTTTAATCTAATTTAACACACTATTTTAAATTTTGATTTAGTTTGTTTATTTCTGTGTCCCATAAAATAATTACGAAGCTTACATAGATATCTCTTAATTTATTTTAACTCATTACCTACCTACAAAAAAAAAAAAATTGGTTAATTCATTAATTTGTCTTTTTTTAAATTGATTCCAAAAGGCTGAAATTCAGATATAAAAATAAAAAACTAGTAATAATATAAATATGAACTTAATAAAAAAAAACCAATTAAACTAGTTGAACTCAAATATTATTTTATTCATGACTTGTCTTTATGTAAGAAATTATGCATCAAAATGATTCTATGAATCCATGGACTATTATGTGTTGATAATTTAAAGATTAATAAATTGATAGATATTATACATAAATTATTAATTGATTTAGCTATGTTTAAAATTAATCATCATAATATTATTCATATGAAATCACTAGTAAATAGTCATATTAGTTATTAGTATTAAATTATTAAAACAGTTTCTTAAAATTAAAAATAATTATTTAGTACTTAAAATTATAAATTATAATTTTTATAAAAAAATAAGTAAAAGAATCATACAAATTATAGACAATGAAAACAATACAGAAGTCAAGTATTGAACACTAATTTCACTATGCAAGATAGACTGTTTGTAAAAATAATTATTAATTAATGATTTTAAACATTTATTAAAAACGAGTAAATGAGTAATTTCTTTATTGAAATTTCAATTTTACAACTTTTTTTTTTTAAATAAAGAAACAGTTATAAAAAATTCAGTTATTCATATAGTATGCGACCTACTAGTTGCTACTAGTAATTGTTTCTTGTTTTTTAATACCAAACTTCAATTAAATGAAGTAGCAAAATTTCAGCTAATATTCCATACATTTTCCGTAAGATTTCAGTTTTTAATACCTATTCCACAAGAACAGTAAGTCACATACTAAACAAATACCAAAATTTATTATGAAACGAAACCAGAACATAAGAAATTTTAATTAATTTAAATGTTTTGAAATAGAACTTAAAAATTAAAAAATTTTATCGGACACAAAAAAAAATAAATCAATATAAAATCTTGTTAGCAATATTAAATAAACTTTTATGAAAATAATATTTTAACTATCAATTCAATTTCTAAATATCACATATTTACAATTAATTCATAATAAATATGTATTATCTTGCATTCATAATATATATTATGTTAACTGATATAATTTTTATAATCCTGTGATAGATCACGGCAAATTGTCAAATATGGTCTATAATTGCAAGTACAAAACAAATACTTGAAAGATGAGTAAGGATTAAATTAGGTTATGTTATAGTATTATACTATATTATTATTACTATGGGACTTCTTTAGTGGACAATATTTAAAAAAATCATATCATATTACCTCAACTTCAAATAATTTGTATAATATGTATGTCACCACGGTCAGTGCTTATTAGATCATAAAATAAAATAAGTTGGGCCTTTACAACATCAATGTAAGCAAGATAATATAATGCAATACCTCAACGCATTCAAATAAAATAATAATAGTAGTTGGTGACAATTACTTTATTATAATAATATAAAAATAGACATGCCTTTTTGGCTAATAAATAATAAAATCAAATAGGAATATAAATGTCTATATGGCTTAGAAAAATATAAATAGATAATAATTCAAATGCCTATTTGGCTCAACAATAATATAAAAATAACAATGTAACGATTTGAATGCCTGTTTTGGCTAAACAGTAATAATAATAAAAAAAAAAAAATAAAATAATATAATAAAAAAAAGGCCTGAATGGCAATATAAATAATGAAATAATGATTACAATAATAAATGCCTATATGGCTACCAAATAATTTAATATAGAAAAATATAATGTATATAAAAAAAAAATGTAATGTTTAAAATATATATAATACGGCTCATCAGCCGATTACCTGAAGAACTGGTGTCTGTTGGTAGCTTCAAACAAGAACGCTACAGTCTCGGAATGCACACAAATGTACAATATAAAAAATACAATAATACAAGATAAAATGTGTGACAAAACGAACGACCAACGGACCACCAGCTCAAACGAACAATCACATAAAAATACAATGAATAACACTTAATAAACAAATCACGTGGTTCTGCAAGTACGTTTATTGACTGCCCTGAATAATTAGGGAAAAAACTATTAATGACGATACAAATAAGAATATAATACTCACAGCAACCAATATATTAAACCAAATGACATTAAAACCAAACTGAATAAAAAAATTAAGACAAAACAAAATGAATAGCACAACTGAATAATGAGTTTAACACTAGCTAGGACCGGATCGAGCAGCTCGAAATATGGCATAAAAAAGTTAAGTTACATGAATTATAATGAGTAAGCTAAAGAAAACTAGATGATGGTTTTTCAATGTCCTACACTAAACAATAAAAACTGGAAAAACTAAGAACTTTGTGACACTGAAAGCATAACTAAACGAAAAGTAACTTTGAAATTTAAACATTAACGAATCTAAGAAAACATGAACTGATATTAGTGATATTGATCACATCACACACGAAGGTATGAGAATTTGAAAAGCATACGCTGACGAAGGCTGCAACTACGGTCTTAGAAGATATCTTCTAATGGCTGCAACTGAGGAACGCACCGTTGCGTGCACATAAAAATGATAACAGGGGGGAAAAAATAAAATGACACAACATGTAATAAACTTAACATCAACAAAAATAACTATAATGCTAAATTTAGATTTTTGTACTTATTTTATATGGGTGTTAAATCCTTTAAACTTTTTTTTTATTAAGCACTGCAAAGGTATTTTTAAAAAATAAGCACTTATTGACTATTGTAGAACTAATAATCAGATTTAAAGGTACCTATTGTTTTAAAAATAATGATTGTTGATTTAATATGTAATAAACAGGGCTCTGAAGTTCATGCCCTAAAAAAATCTTGAATAAACGTGCACTTATACACTAAAAAATGGCAAAATATGCATTGAAATATGCCTTACAAAGTTCAAATGTATGCATTTATATGCACTAAAAATCTAAAATTATGCATTTGAAATATGCGCATTAAAAAAATAGGCCGAAGACGGTTTTTCTTTTGGCATGATATAAAAATGAAGTTATTAAAACATATAAAAGATTTTAATGAAATGAAAAGAATCAACGTATATGCACACGCGTCACACATTTACTACAATAACTGAGACAGTTACAGTCAACAAGTATCAAGTAGATAAGGTAATTTCTATTTTAAATTCTATACATTTTTTTCATTAAATTGGTATAATGCGACCCAAAACTCTGATAAACCAAATGAAGATTACTACTAGCATTTTATTTTTAATCATTTTATGTTGCAACCAAATTCTCGTGTATAAATGATCGTATTTTTTCTTTTTTCATCATAATATGATAGGAATATCAAAATTTTGAATAATATGCTCGATAAAATAGCAAAACACATAAATATGCCAATTAGGCAAAAAACCTCTAAATATGCAAAAACATGCAAAATAAAACTTTACATAATATATAACCGTGATACCTTGAAATAGATTTCTATATTATCTAGCATTAAATAAAACATAGTAAGATTGATATGCAAATGCATGAACTTCCGAGCCTTGATAATAAATAATAAATTAATAAAATAGATAACAGAAAACACATTATATATTAAGAGTATCATTTAAAGAGAATACATTTGTATAATATAATACAAGTTATTATTAAGATTTAAGGTAAAGGTTGATTTTTTAATCATATTTTATTTCTAATAGAAATTTTCTATCAATAAATATTAAATCATACAATTCACAATTACATATTAATTGTATAATTATTAATTACGTCTACCTAACCAAATAAATACTAAATATCTTAAATATAAAATTTCTAATTCAGTTTAAACTTAAAAATTAACTATTTATGGTATAAAAGTCGTTTTAAATTAGTATATATCAATGTGTCATAGAATTTAAAATAATAATAATAATAACACTCAAAATAGTGACCCATATTACGCTTAATGTACAGCAAAGCAGTACACTTATCTTATTTTCTTTTCTTTTTCTTTTTTGTAATTTGTCACTTATCAAAACTAATAAATACAATTTGTGATTTTAAAATTAATAAACTTTAAAAATGTTAAGTAATCCAAACTAATCACTAATGAAGACAACTTATGATTTAAATTCAATTAAAACATTTTAATTATTTAATATTTATTTTACCAATTAAATGTTATGTACTTTTATTTGAATGCATACATTTTCCCCAAATCTTTTCATTTTCTTCCTTATGTTCTGAAAAAATTAATAAGAAATTCAAATATCTATCTTAAATTACTTATGAAAATTTAAAAATGTAATCTAAATTCTATGTTTCTATGTATGTTTCAAATTTAAAAATATATTCTTCATAGCAAAAATTAATTTTAAAATACCTACTAAAAAAACAAAATTAATATTATTATTAAGTATAATAATTGCAATAATTAACATTATACCTAGTACAAAAATATGTAATTAATGCTATTTACTTTTTAAATTTTCCTCTCTAAGATTCTTGAAATAACGCTCTATGTTTGAATTTGAGAAGTCCTGCAAACATTAGTAAATTAATAAAGTATTTATACATGGTTTAATATGGATACCTATTTATAATTACTAATAAGCATCACTAATAAGTTTAAGAATACATAAAATATATGAAGAATATATAAAGAATACTATATATTAATAAAATATAATAATTATACAATCAAATATATACATAATTTAAGTATATTACAAGTTATAAAAAAAAAAACAAACCAAATTTGAATTTTTTATACTGCTTTTTGAAGACATAGATTCAGATAGTTGTTGAATGGCCATTCCTCTACCTCCACATTTATTTCGATGTGGTTCAAAACTCACTTTTAACTATTCAATCAATCAAAAAAAATAAAATTAAAATTTTAAAATCAATAGAGAATTAAAAATGTAATCGTTACACAAATCTTAATTTTTTACTTTTAAATTAATAGGTAGTTTTATTTTATTTATTTTCAACAAATAAATGCTAATTTGTATTTATTTCACATACTTTTGAATTCCGAAAGCAATCAGATGCTACAGAATCAACCTGCAAGTTAGAATCAGGGTTTGATTGATTTTGAGAAAGATGTTTTGGCATTTCATTACCACTTAACTTGGTAGTATGAGAATTTGTATTTGCGTTTGACATTCTAAAAAAAAAACTATTTTATTATTTGTATAACATTCCGACAGATGTAAAAAAAAATGTTAACAATTAAGTATAAAGTATCTAATTACTTACTTAACTAATTGTTAACATATAAACAGGAATAAAATATAAAATACAAAACAACAATAAATTAAATATTGAAAAATTTACAATCAGAATGTTTTATTTTATTTAACGTAGATATTTAATCGATAATAATAATTAAGTCATAGATAGGTATTAGGTATGAAATAAATTTCAAACAATATTGAACTAACAACTAAAAAGTAAAAAGTATTTTGTTTACATTATATAACAAAAACCTTAGATCATATGATCATTATATATGATCTAAGACAAAAACTAATAACTATGATAAAACTACAGAATATATTATCAGCTGATCTATGATTATGAGTATTATAATTATGATATATAGATAATATTATCTATAATTATGACAGCATGTCACATAATTACATAAAAACAGTATCATAATAATCACTGTGACAATAATTTTGGCGTAAAATTCCGTCTGGTTCATTATAAAAATAAGAATGTATTGTCGACCGGGCACCAATAATGGATTCATACTTAAGCTTTTAATATTTTGTCTTGCCTCGAATGATAGGCAATAATATCATCAGACATCAATTATAGTAATATTATCAATTACCTACTATTAATTCAGTAACAACTTAACAATTAGTTTATTTAACAGCAGTAAAGACTGAAGATTTCATCGAAGATTGGTTATGTACAGAATAACCCATAATATTAAATCAGGAGTTCAACGGTTAAGTCAGACAAGATCAATGACCCCATTTGCATTTCATTATACTGTAGGGTGAGTCCCTGGTTTTTTTTCTATCTAAAGAGCGAAACGAGGATGAATCAAATCTATAAAGATGATGTATTATGTAAATGTATGTGTATATTCACACTAGTCACACCCTCATCATTGTATAGATAACGTAAGTAACGTTTTGAAGCAGAAAATATTCTATTAGTCCAATGGACATAAACGTAATTTTAGGTAGGTATGTGCCAACTACCATATGGAATATTGTAATACTTAATAGTTAAATTAAAAAAAGTATAATATTATTATTTATGAAAGTACAACAATAATAAGAGTAGGCAACAACAAATATTGTGTAACCTATAATATTATAATAATATAGTATTATCATATAGGTATATAGAAATATAAAATGGTAATAATTGGTACATTTAAACTTTAAACGCCATAAATCCCTTTACTTACAAGTCTGAAGTCAGTGTTATTCTAGGGGAAGTTTTCATTCTACAGTTGG